GGTGTAACCATTAGAAAGAAGATTAAAAATTATAAAGCTAATGATTTTTATTTTATCTCTTTCTGAGATTGAAAATGGCCACCACTAAAATGAGATTCAGGGGAAGTCACCTAATTGTTTTCACCATGGAAACAAGTATGGACACTCACTTTCTCATTTGCTTATGGTCATCACCTTGACTTCATAGTAAAATATCAACAATTTCAAATTTTGACCTATTTTCTATTGTATTTTTCTGTAATCCTCCTGTACAATTATATCAACACAAAAAAAACTTAAATTGTAGAACTTACTATAAAATCAGGATATGACAATCGTTATCTCTCTCTTTCAATTTAACCCAATACATTATTAATACTTCCAGTCCAATACACTTGTCCATGTACCTGACCACAGCGTTAAAACCCAACAAAATTGCATAAACTAACCTGCAGGCCATGGCTCTAGAGCCAGCTTACATTTTCTAATCAAGATATTTTGTGAGTCATTATAAAGTCTAATTGCTACAAAGAGGTATTACTTCTAAGAAAAAGGCGAACACTATCTCTGCTTTTCTTCAATCTTAATCTGACCTTAAGACACTTGTTCAGTGTGAACACTGAGTCATCCAGGTGGACACACAAATTAATAGAAATGTACGTCAATCTTTGTTTTTTCCTCCCCACTGACTACGCAAGTCTAAAGGATTCATCTGACACTGTGCAGGCCAGAGCGGATTTACTCTCAATAGGCATTCTTTCAACATTCTTTTGTGCTCAGAGAAAAAGGGTATCAGGAAAGACGAGGCGGTAATAAGGAAATCGGCAATTTAGTAAGATTTCAATCGGAATGTTTTAGCATGATTAAATTGCATTAAAAAGTTGTATGACTCCGTCAATAACAAGGAAAACACATTTATAATGTGATTTGTGTTTTATAAAGCAGTGAACACCATGAGAGTTGCCTTTGATAACAGATTTTGAATTTAAAAAATGTAATGTTATGATCGATATGTTAAGAAACAGATAAGATTGAGTAAATTTACAATGAGGTGAGAAAGATGATGAGAACTGAATGACAAGATGGAAAGCAGTGAAGAGGAAAGAAATGTAGGCAGAGGTCACAATAAATCCTTGTAACCACTTCATAACAAATTTGTTATGGGTTGACATTTTTTGCTACATCTTGTATCATAATTTTTTAACTCTATAATTTTAACTTTTAAATTTTCTTCACAAATTTTTATAGCAACATTTTAAACATTTTTACATAATTTATATATTTCTTTCTTAATTTTGAACTAAATGGACATAATTTACTATTGTCTTCAGGTTTTTTTCAAATAGTTTATAAATACCAAAAGAATTATGGAAGGATTTCTTGGTGATAGGTGACAAACTTTATCATCTGTGTTTATAAAAGAGTTACTTTTTAGGCAAAAAGAAAGCTTATATACAGGACACAATATCACTTCTAGTGTAGTCTTGATTACTAGGACATGGTAGTCATGCATCTTAGTTTGAAAATGGTTTTTAGGCTGAGAAAAAAAATATCTCTGTTTCTCGTTTCCGCACGCATCATTTTGAACTATGCGCCTTGCACGTTGTTTTTTTCCTTCTTAAGCATTCCAAAATGCACTTGTACTCGCACTTGTCTCAAATTCCCCCCATTTTAGCTCAGTATTGAAAAAAAAAGAAATCGCCTCGCTGCCTCATTTTTAAATTTCCATGAAACGAGAAACAGAGAATTTTTTTTTTTGGCCTTAGGTGGTGGTGGCAGTGTTTGACTATCATTGATAAAACTTAATAATTTGAGGAAGGTGACAAACGCTGATGTCCTTCAGAACATTTTAACGCTATTCAAATCAGGTTAACCCAATGACTAGCGTTTACTTATACTCACAATCCTTATCCCCACAAACACCTTCATAAGAAGTCTTTGTCTTTATGCACCAAAACACATAAAGCATTTCTTCGTTTTTTTTAATTAGATAGAAACAGCCATGTTCACAAGTTGTCCAAAGGTTGACTGACTTATCGTTCATACAGGTAGTTCAGGTGAACAACAAAAGATGTCTGCCCTCTAGCGTGGCCAGACAGAGAAGCCAGACAGACACCATCCTCATCAATTACATCAAAGCATGCAAAACAAGTCTCACATATCACCTTAGTCATTAAGCAACTATATTAAATTTATCTACTGTTTGAGAAGGAAACTGTTTTTTTTTTTTTGTTTTTTTACAGATTATATATTTAACAAATTTGGGAGAAGTGTTTTAAAAAAAATTCAACATCCTAATGAGACGACATGAGAAATAATTAACACCAGAAAACGATTAAAAGGCTGGAATAAATCTTTTTAAATATATATGTACTCCCTCCAGAGTTACTGTGTTAAAAAAAGCATCATTTCTGAAAACTTTTATTTATTAACATTTGTACACTGATCACATTACAGGAGTTTGTACATATTTCAGTTTTCTAAGACAACAATGGGAAATATCTAAATACAATGATAATCACATTTTTAAGTGATTTTATTTAGCTGCGGAAAACAGGATTGCAGCCTGCAGGGTATATTTGTATGCAATATTTAAGAGTGACAATTCAATAGCAAGAAATCTAACAAGAGTGCAAGGGGGATACAACACAAAAAAGGAAATGCCATTTCCTAATAAGACTTACTAGAATGTAAGTCACGTAAACTCAATCACACATGCACGTAAATGCATTTCCTCCCAACACACAGTGTCTCGAGGAGATGAAAAAAGTTGTTCTAAAAGGAGCTTCTTTATTGGTTAATAATCACTGAATCACTGAAGTGTGATGCTTATTGACCAATGCGTGATGAGATACTATAGAGAAGAAATGCTTCAGCTTATAGAGCACTAATAAAACATGGGTTCAGTGTGGTCGTAATTTATGAATGACAGACACATGGGATGAAACGCTGGAAGTGTCAGTCTATAAAAAAGACATGTGGTAAACCATATAACTTTCACGATTTCAGGATTGTAAGGCATTTGTGAAGACTTAATTTGTTGAAAGTGACTGAGACGCCATGTTGTACCGTAGGACCCAGAAGAAATTTTCACTGACTTATCTAATTTGAGAAAATTTTTCTCTCTCGAAAATAAAGGTGCTTATAGTAGTCAAAGTACATTTCAATAATTATCTTAAAAATAGCAACGAAAAGTCAATTTTTATTGAGCGTTGACTGCCTTATGAGTTTAGTTTTAATGTTTTTTTAAATCATTTTTTTTTTAATTTCTCACTAGCACGAGAAGCAAAAACCTTTTTTTCTTTGGCCTAAAGTTCAAGCTACATTATTCTGAGAAAAGTTCAACACAGAAGAAAAAGAATTAATGAGAATAAAAATGTCATCAGTTTTTTTGCTTGGGGCGCAAAATAAGATCCAGACTGCATTGATGCGTGTACCTTGACACGTTTTGAGAATACAAATATACATCTTTGCAAACCAAATGTTGTCTCACATAATACAAACACAAATCAAAGAAGATAATTTAATTTAAGTCATTAATTCATTTTATACAAATTCTGCAATCTCATTATAGATATCAGTAGATTTACTCTAATGGTTAATGGCGGCTTTTGATCTCCATTAAATAATTCTATGATTATAAACAAAGAGACACATTTACATTAACTATATATTCTGCTACATTAGAAGTTTCTGACACCACATGTTCTTGGACATTTTAAGCATGGTACCAAACTTAACAAGGTTACCCAACAGCATTAATATATCTTTATACCGGGTAATATAATCAGATAATTACTATATAAATTAGACAGATTAAATTTCATTTATTAGTATGCAGTTTACTGTGAAATGACTAATTTTCACTGGGTTTAAATTTCGCTGATTTACTATTTCAGGCATATTCAGAGGGTTTTAAATCCACGGTTTTATAATTTAAGATAATGTGTTCTATGCTAAATTTTAAATATTCACTGGGTTTTAATTTAGCGCATTTTCCAGTCAGTGAAATAAGCAAAATTAAAACCCAGTGAATAATCAACCCTTTTACAGTATATTCAAACCCTGTCCAGTGTGCTATCTAGGACTGAGTCAGTCAAGAGTCAGCTTTGTTGACTGAAAAGGTTGGACTTCATGATATAATAATATTGTATGTAAATGTATAGGTGACTTGAGGCACATTTATTTATTTTTTTGTTTATGAAATGTGAATTTCATTTTACCAAATTACAAATTTCAACAATATAGTTAGATCTTTGTGTATCAGTAGAAAATACATCACAATTCACAGCAGTAAACAGGCTAGAAATGTAATAACCACATTGGTAAGTTTTAGTGGTCACCAAAAAAGAGGCAAAAACAGAGATAACATAATTATATACATACATGCAATTTTTGGTGCATGTTTGCGTCTATTTGTGATGCGCTTTCAAAAAAACAAATACAGGAAATTGTTTAATCTAAATATACAGGCATATTTATGTGCAAGAAGGGACATAAATTCCTTCACTTTGAAACCAAAAATTCTATATAAGGAATATTAATGTTACCATTAAACTTGCAAAATTTGTGGGCTGTTTATTTAGCAAAAAATTGTCTCACCACCCCATTTTTGATAAACACATGTTGACCAAAAATGTGTCTGTTTTTTGTCAGGCTGAATAGTATTTCACTGAAAATCTAGTAAATTTATCTTTTCCTATGTCAATAAAATCATTGAAAAAAGTTACTGTTAATGTTTTAGTGCTTGTATGTTATATTCACTGAATGAGTATATTTCACATATTCGTTTGCTAACGACAATGATGATGACAACAACGCCAGACACCAGTTAGGTAAGGTGACAATAGTGACAATATTACTTTCCTCAATCACATGACAGATAAACTTTGCTTTTACTTTGTGGTTGCATTTCACAACCAAAATGGTTTCCAGCTAAAATAAGGAGTCACAGGAGTACAACACTGAATAAAAACTGGGATACATTTTCACATAAGATTTTGAGAGATAACAACACATACCTGTATTGGCAGTCTTCTATCTGTACAATATCTACACAATTTTATTTACACAAGTCTGTAAAAAAACAGAAAAAGTTGTTAAATAAATGATAATTATATCTTATTGTATTACATGTACAGCAATATTCACAAAAATAATATCATGATTTGCAGCTAATTTGCATAATTTAGTGCATATCAATTAACATAATAACCAAACAAAATTATTTTTAATGTGTTATACATGTACAATGCATGCAGACATCACAGTCACAGCTCCATTTTTTTACAATTTTTTGCATATCAATTAACATAATAACTAAATGATGTTTATTGTGTTACACATGGATGCACCTTTTTCATGACATCACAGAGCTGCAGTTAATTTGCATATATTAATGTGTGACATTAATTAACATAATAAATTGCATATAAGATGTTACAATATACTAGCGGGGCTGGAGGTTAATTTCAATTTTCATTATTGCCAAATTTGCACCTTTAGTAGCATATTACAGACTGAACAACCACTGCAAACCAGTGCTTGCTTTCACATTGATGCCATGAACGGCTGTATCTGTGGGGAACATTTACAACATCATTGGGCTTATGTTTTGATGTAAACCATTAAATTAATTTTTGATAATTTGTGGTTGTTTGTGAGATTGAAATGCTGATAACGTGTCAGTGACACTTAAACTTACTCTTTCAGTTTTTATACAGACATACAATTTCTATACAGTATTCAAACACTATAGTTTTCCCACCAAAATTTGCATCCAACATTTTTTTGTATTTTTTTTAATTTCTTTACTAATTTTGAACCAAATGAACATAATATTTCACTGCTTCATCAAAACTCAATAATATTCTATGAAAAAAGGCAAAAGTTGTCTTCAGCATTAAAGGGACAAACAGGACAGTTATGGTGACATTAAACAAATCAATCTATAAAGCCATCTATACTCTATTAGCCTACATTGGAAGCACTGTGCATAAATGTAGCAGAGATAAAATTGTTTCCATGACAACAAACTAGGATTTGAACTCAATAGACAGTTATAATGACGAGAGATCAAGAGTGATTTGACAATTTGATTTGTTCGTCAACTCATGCATAACAAAGTAGTTTATCACGACATAAAATATAAATGATGTGTAGAGGCATCATTTTATGAAAAATGTTATATCGGTATAATCCATTTAGTGATTATATACACAAAGTAGTACCATACACCGATATATACAATGTACACATGAGTTTAACTGATGTCACATGTCATTGCTGTTTTCATTCCGATAGATGAACATTGAGTATGAAGGATATGTACTTCGTAATAGTCGTATCCAATGACGTCTCCAAGATACCCATTCACTTTCACAACTCAGCAGCCATGGACAACATAGAGGAAAACATGCCAATAAATATGAATATCAAAACATGAGATGGTAAAAGGGTAGGCGGCTTGTCAAAACTGTCAAGTTGATTGGAATTGTATGTAGGATGCATTAACATAATGTTTTTATTTGTAATTCACGTTAGTTATGACATGTCACACAGAAAGAGTCAAAACACTATGGCTGCGTTAACGTTAATGAGTGTTTCTACGAATGTACTATCATCCCTTCAGGAAGTCGACTTTGAAAAGCAAAAGTGGAGTAGAATATGCATAAGAATGCAAGAGAGTGTTTCCTCCCTTTGAGATTAACGTCATAAGGCACCTAAAGGTACATTCTGTGAAACCCTTTCCTATTCTCTTTGTATGTGTAGCAGCCATTACAAGGCTCTAATGGCCATAAGTGGCATTGTTGTATTAGTGATGTCGAATTCAAACGTCAAACGCAATTGAACATAATTTGATAAGTTAAATATTAATGCTGTGTTCAGAAATACAATTCAATAAAAAAACTGTTTGACACCAGACAAGTATATAATACAAATAGAAGCTAAACAAATGTTGACTGTAGAGGGCAGCATAACTGCATATTCACTGCATCAATGCATGAATAATGTACAGTTTTTAGTGATTGGCAGTTTATGTTCTTACTATATTTACAAGTCAGTGACTTACTGG